ACATGCTCACTAAGATAGAGATTATTAAACTCCTCAATCAAATGATAATAACACATGAAGTCAAAAATTAAGAATAATCCATCGAAGGGAAGCCCTAAGCTATGGACTATCAAACTTCTCATGCAACATGCCATTACAAACCATTTCATAATCTCATCTCCATTCTCACTATGAAGATGCAAGCCATACAATCATAAGAAAATATAATCTAAGACATGATAATAAATTCAACATAATCATTTATAGAAATTAAGGTTCATTACAACTTGTGTAGAGCTCTAGATTATGAAACTACCATATACATGATTCATTCCCCAAAGTAAAAGTAAAACTAAAGCATGGTTACAAAGAAGGGCTTCATCACCTCCCTAGAAAGGGAGTTAGTTACCCATGGAAGCAAGGGAAGAAGAGGTTGAGGAGATCTTCCCCTTCATTTTCGCACCTAGCAGCCAAGAACACCCCAAGCTCTCAAGAACACAATATTTCTCTCTCTAGAAAACCTTAAAATGTTTGATATCTCTTTTACCATGATTCAAGCCCTTTGTATCAGCCAAATATCCTACCAAACTCCCTTAATTCGTGACTCAAAATCCCTAGAGAAGTGCAGAGCTATATCCTCAAACAAGGGGACAACATTGGGTGAAACAATGCAACCCACGAACTGTTGTCTGCAGCTTGGCGGGCTCCCGCGAGGTGTTAAGGCTGGCTTCCACGTGCTGGCAGTGGGGCACTTGGGGCTATTGATAGCAACTGGCGGTCGACCGCAGTGCATGGCGAGGCCTCGCCAAATTTGAAACCTACTGCCCTTTGGCACCTACAGGAATTGGCTTGCAGCGGCAGGGGTAGGCGGGCGCTCGCTATACTATCTCCAAGGCTCTCAATTACTTTTCCTGAACTGGCCTTGGCTTGGCCTGACGACACTATCATCCTTCTTAGGCTTTGCAGAGACTGCCATGAGTTTAATGGCACATATTAGCTTGGCAAAACTGTAGATCACCGGCCCGGCATGCTTTGATCTTCAATAACTCAACAAAACCTCAATTTTATCTCTTTTTGAGGAATAACCCTGAAAGTGCACAAAAATACAAAGATGAAGATAATCTATACAACAAAAACAACTAATGGACTTAACTAATGCAAATAAGGGCGCTTGAATATACAATAATCGGCGCTTATCAATCTTTTGTCTTCAATTTTATTTCATTGTAATTTTATTTTTCTCTCTAGAAAAGTTATAAATTAGGGTTAGAAGAAAAAAGAATAGTGGAGGCACCAAGAACACATTTCAAGATCTATACACTCTCCTCTCTATAATTCAACAAAGAATAAGGGGGAAGAAGATGGAGCCATGTTTGGAGATTGCCCTTGAGGGTTCCAAGATCACATCCACCTCCTCTATGATTGGCTAGACTTCTCCTTGGGGCTTGGATGAGCCCCAAGTTTGTAATCTAAACCTCTATCTCTTTCATACTTTTTGGGGAATAATATCTTGTGATTAGTGTTTTAGCCTTGTGAATTTAATAAATCTTGGGTTTTCCTTTGATTTTTATGGATTAATTCTTTCTATTGATTCTCTACGTGATTATATGTTGTCTTGTGTGTGATTATTTAGGAATTGATCTCTACACTAGCTTTTCTATATTAATTGTATGTCTATGTGTGGTTGATTGAGAATCTAGTGATGGTTAATCATGGTTTTTATTAGATGGGTTTGTCAATTAATTTGATGGATTATGCTTATGCTTGATGGGTTGTTCTACAATTTAATTCATGCTTGTAGGTAGATAGACAATCTAGACTTGATTTGATATTCCATGGCTTATTATTACAAATTCCATGATTCTCTAGATTGATGTGTGCTACAATTGTGACTAATTTAATAGGTCATGCTTAGAATTGATGGGTTGTACTACATTTAGTTTATTTGTTGGTTAGGTAAACAATTCATTATTGAACTTGATAGTCCATACTTAATATTGCAATTGGTAGTCGCATTTTATTCACAAGAAGGTTTCCCCCAAATTAGTTGAAAGTGTATGGTTTGGTGAACGAGCTTGTTGGTGATTCCAATGCACCCCAAGACCTCACTTCTCATCTCTTAAATCCCTTTCTCAACTTAGTTTTATTTTAATTGCATTTTAATTTAATTATTTTCTAGAGTAATCAACCAATCCAACTCTCTCTCTCTTGCAATCAATTAATACATTAGAATTGAAATTAAATTCCAACATGTGTAATCTATATAGACAATCCGTACTCGCTATACTTTATTAGTTGTAGTAGTGGTTTTATAAATGTAAATTTGACTTTTAAAGGCTTCCTAAACTACAATCATATTTTGACCTTGCAAAGCAACCTCTCGCATTACAAAGTTCGTTTTCTAAATGCATAAAAGGGGCTCGCCACCTTTAAACCAGCTCTTGCACCTGCAAAACTTGATAGCAATTGAACTCCATGATGAACACAGCAATAATAATCAATTCACTAACATTTCAATGAAGATTTCAAGTTCAGATCATCATTAAAGACATTAGAAATCTAAGTTCATATGAAGCTCTCGAGTATAGTTCATTCCAAGTCACTATTAGGGTTTTGCAAGAGGCTTGATTCAGCTAAAATGCTATAACAACACATATATACTCAAGCATACAATTCATATCCCACTACAAAAAGGATATACACATGGCACTTGTAGCCAATCATTGGTTAGAGAATGTTCTTACATTCTTCATGTGAATAGACCATTATACCCTTGCTAACTCAGCTGTTTTGTCTTCTAGTATACCATAAATTACAACTCACGATGTAAAGGTTGTAATAGCATTCTTATCCAAGAGTTAGTGATTAAGAAATGCAATGTTGTGTATATACTCTCACTTTAAGGCCACAGTAACGTGTCACATACCTGAGCTTCAAGTAAAAAGACCAAAATGCCCTTATAACCGCTACTTGTCATTCTCAATTTCAAACAGTTGCTAAGGCTGTATAAATCACAATGCAGGCTAAATCACAGCTGTTCAATGCAATCCGTCTATCTGAACATATGTATAAGCATATAATACAACTATGAATTTATCATAGTGCCCCTGAAAATCCCTGTAGCGAATTTTCATATGCTGAACCTTAGTTAAAAAAAAAAACAAAACAAAAAAAAAAAAAAAAAGGTTGAATAATTGCAATGTATTATCTTGAACAATTGTGAAATTGTGTCACAAGATGGTAAAAGACTATACTACCCCTGTGTGATGATATAAGCCATTGTGCACATCAATGGTGATCATATAAGCCCTTGAAAGCTTTGTTACACCAGTTTTTGACATTAAATAAGCAAACACCAATTGGTACTAACTAGGACCAACAGGTGCCTAGTTGGCCGCTTATTGTATCTCACCATCACACGACCAGACTTATCCTATGTTGTTCAGATTCTGAGTCAATTCCTGGATAACCCTCGACAACCCTACATGAATGTGGCCACACAGGTTATTCGTTATATCAAAGGAACTCCGAGTCAAGGCATTTTATTTACATCATCCTCTACACTTCATCTTAAAGCTTTTTGCGACTCCGATTAGGCTGGTTATCCCAACACTCGCAGATCCATCACCAGGTATTGCGTCTTCCTTGGTGATTCTCCTATTTCTTGGAAATCCAAGAAGCAAAGTATTGTCTCCCGTTCTTTTGCCGTGCCATGGCTTCCACTTATTGCGAACTTACTTGGTTGTTAACCGTGTTGCATTCTTTACAAATACAACACCTTTAACCTACTCTCTTATTCTGTGACAACCAAGCTGCTTTGCACATTGCTGCAAATCCGGTATACCATGAGCGAACCAAGCATATAGAAATCGACTGCCATCTCATTCACGAAAAATTGCAAGCCAGTATTGTTCTCACTCTTCATGTTTCTTCTTCTCATCAGATTGGCGATCTCTTCACCAAACCGTCGGGCTCCGACCACTTTAGTTTTCTCATTCACAAGCTAGGTGTGCACAACATCCACACTCCACCTTGAAGGGGAGTCTTACCATGTAGCCAGCACAATTCATGGGTCAATTTTGGATTAATATGACATAATTTATTTAATTTTATTTTCCTTCTTTAGGCCTTATGCTCGTAGCCTTGATTATAGCCATTCTCTCGTATATATGGGACCATCGTGTATAGCTAGTATACATATAATGAAATAAATATACAGTATCTTCCACAAATAATCTCCTTTTCTTTCAATACTTCACATCAGCAAACTCAGACATTCTTGTAAAACTTATCTACGGTAATAGATTATAAATATAGATAACTTTTTATTTAGAAAAAATGATATAAAATATAAATATAAATAACTATTTATTTAGAAAAAAAATGATATATATATATATATATATTGGTAAACAAATAATAAATATACCGTACTTCATAGGCGCCAAACCAAACCAGAGTCCTGCACCCAAAAGCATTCCGATGCTATAAGAATAAAAATTTAATAAATAAAAAATCATTTTTTGGTAATTAAAATAAAAAAATCCCTTTCGGTAATTAAAAATAATAATAATAATAAAAACTTTTCTCTTTCTTTTATTTATGTTTTTTAGGGTCGACTTGGCTACCATAGAACAGAGACAGAGTCCCAGTCTCTCTTGGGCTTGTCTCCTGTGAGAGATCACACACACCTATTCTTAATATATGTATATACACACTCAGAGACACACAAATAGAGGGCGAGAGAGAGCGTGCACGCATGAAGAGAGTACAGAGGAGCAATGAAAAAAAAAGAAAGCAGAAGGAGAGAGAGAGAGGAAGAGAGTAAGACCAAAAAAAAAAGTGAGAACGTGAAGAAATGAGAGACTCATTTACTCATCAGAGCCAAAAAAAACAAAAAAAAAAAACAAAAAAAAACAATTCTCAGCTAAAGAATGCCACCTCTCTTATACTACTACTACTATCGAATAACAACCAAACCAAACCCACGCATTCCTCCAACTCCAAAACAAACCCAAAATAGGTTGCCATTTTGCCTTGCCAGCAAGCAGTAGTACGATCTCTCTCTCTCTCTCTCTCTCTCTCTTAATCAACAACAACATACATATTATTCCGTATGTATACACATACATGTACAGCTCAGCTCATCAACAACGCACCACTCTCTCTCACTCTTCCATATGAGACTATCACCATTTCCAAACACTCATCATCACTATTGCAGCACCAAACTCATCTCTCTCAACCACCACACCACCGCCGTCAAATCCTCCTCCTCCGCCCACGCCGCCCTCAAAATCAAATGGGCTCAAATGGACACCACCAACAACAACCACAGCCACCACCGCCGCCACATCAGCAACGAGAAGGTCGTTGTCATACTGGGTCCAACTGGGTCCGGCAAATCACGGCTGTCCATCGACCTTGCCACCCGATTCTTCCCCTCCGAGGTCATCAACTCCGACAAAATCCAAGTCTACCGTGGACTCGACATCACCACAAACAAGATCCCAATGCGCCAACGACTAGGAGTCCCACACCACCTGCTCGGCGAGATCGACCCGGATGAACCCGAGTTGACCCCCTCTGAGTTCCGCTCACTCGCCGCCTCCACCATCTCCGACATAGCCTCGCGCCGAAACCTACCCCTCGTCGTAGGTGGGTCCAATTCCTTCATCTACGCACTCGTCTCGAACCGATTCGACCCTGATTCGGACATGTTCGACGATTCACGGACAACAGATTCAATCTGTACGGACCTCCGTTACGATTGTTGTTTTCTATGGGTGGATGTCTCTTTGCCGGTGTTGAACCAGTACCTGACCGAGCGAGTCGACGACATGCTCGTCTCCGGCATGTTCGACGAATTAGCTGAGTTCTTTGAATCGGACGAGTCAGGGAATGAAACTCGGACCGGGTTGAGGAAAGCGATAGGAGTGCCCGAGTTTGAGAGGTACTTCAAAAAGTTGCGTCCCGAGGAGGATGTGAGGGTGAAAAGGGTGGTATATGATGAAGCTGTGAGGGCTATCAAGGACAACACGTGTCAGCTGGCGAAGAGGCAGGTGGGGAAGATCCAACGGCTGAGGGACGCCGCCGGATGGAAGCTGCGGAGGTTGGACGCCACGGAGGCGTTCAGGACCGCAATGGGGGTGGGTGGGTCAGATTCCGGCAGGTGGTCAGATATTTGGGAGAGGCAGGTGGTGGAACCAAGCGTGAAGATTGTGAGGCGGTTCTTGGAGGGGTAGGTTTTCCAGCTATTTGCAATCCCCCACTCTCTCTCTATTTTTCATTACGAGTCTCTCTCTCTTACTTTTTTATTTTTTTTTATTTTGAAAAACAAAAAAAAAAAAACAAATTCAAATTATACAATTAGCGCTTGGACCGTGGCTTTGGGCGGTGCAATGCCTCGGCAAAATGGTGACCAGTTTTGGAATAGTGATGCGGCTCCGACAATTAACACATTGTTGTGGTTCTGATTGTAATTTTGGTTTCTCTTGCAACTTTTAACTTATAACTATATACGGAAACCCTTTTTTTTTTTCTTTTTTTCTTTTTTTGTTGTCTCTCTCACTCTCTCTCTCTCTTTATATTCTATACATTGGACATTTATTGTTGAGATGGGAGGGACTTAAACTTATGTTGTTAATGCTTTTAAGTTTCTAGTAAGATGATTTTTCTGATAATTATGTAAAGAATAATGAGACTACTAATCTATTTAAATCCTACTTATAAGTAAATTCTATTATGGGTCATCCAAAAGTCGCTTTGGAAGATTAGACCGCTTTTGCATTAAATTGCTCCAAAGGTCGTTGTTTCCAGTAAACTGTTGACAGACGAGTAATAGGGCCTCTCTTAAGCAGCACGACGACAGAATAGTAACTTATTGTTCATTACATAATTTTATAATGATTATTCTATACAGATCTTAAGCATTAACAATATTTAACAGTCATGTTAAACCCATCTTCCAGTATGGCAGAACAGGATTCACAGGATTCTAAATTTATTAAGAATTCAGAGTTAATTGAATTTACTGATGTTCAGAATAAATTGAACAAGTGGACTATTCCACCAGTAAATGCAAGCAGCATTTACAAAATCGGAATGCTCAATCTTGCTGACCTATGGGCAGTTAAAACCATGGAGCAGACGATGCAATTGAGTAACAAGGACACAATAATTAAATTATTGTCTCCAAGAGATCTTCAAAGATACATGAAGAAATACAAGTATATCCATATAGGTTTAATTCAAATTGCTTTTAAACCTTTAACTTTACTTGGTATGGATACTTGTATTCAAGCAACACTTAGGGATGCTAGGTGTTTAGACTTTCACCCTTCTTCGATGGGTACACTGGAAACCAGTCTATGTCCTGGACCGGTTTACTTTGATGTATATCCTAGTCTGAATCTATCTTTAACAAATAGAAACATATATGAAGCAACTAGTCTTCGTGTACAGACTCATGGGTATAATTTCTTACCTGGATCGGAGGTGATAAGTGTAATTTATCGCATCCATTATAAGGTACTTGATACCTACTGTCCGAAAGTCATTCACAAAAACTCTAAAGGAGTAACAGCGATATGGGATACAAACATGTTCACTTCAAATGTTGCCACAAAAAGATGATTCCTTGGAGTGAAATAACGGTCCCTGACCATTGGACAATTCCTACTGCAGTTCCTGCACAACCTATCCTCAGTAGGAATTTGGACTATGTTATCCAGGATAATAATGGTGATGTTCTTCTTAATTTCCGAAGATATTTAGATCTACCCAGATCTACATCATCTAGAGGAATTAATTTTCCTTATAAGGTTTCCTACCCTCCTTCTCGCAACTCTGTTTCAGGAATGTCTAAGGACAAAGATGAATTCACAGAGGCTGATCGACTCAAGCTGAAGGGAATCCAGCAATCACAGAATAAAATTCCACAAACTGTTTATGAACCAGCACCAAAGAATACATCACGTCGGGAATTTGGAATAGAGTTCAGTCCCACACCCTCAGAAATGGGTGTTGAAGAAAAGGCTGAAGACAGAAGTGAAGAAATAGATGAATATTAGTTTTAATAGATTTTACGCCAGATCGAAAAGCCATTAATGCTTAATTTCAGCAGGAAAAATATCAAGAGTTTAGAAATTGGTATTTTAAAACTTTTGATAAAGAAAAATTTAAGTTTTATAAAACATAATTTTATGACTATCTTCAAGAAAATCAAATGGTTATACCTTTTGTTTCTTGGTTTTGTCTGACACATCATTCCATTATGAATTTAAATATTTTGGATGATTTTCTGAAAACATGGACCACTAAAACTGATAAAGTTATTAACTTGGTCCATCCCCCTACTGAAGCTCTACTTTTGAAAACCACAGACCAGGATACTAGTTCTAAAGTATAGACTAAGGCTTATAGCCAACTAGCTTCCTATCTTCCAAACAGTGATAAAGAAACCAGCTTTATTATAAAGGAAAATATTTATAAAGTATACCGACAGAATATTTATACTAATGTCTGTATGCAAACGATAGGGTCCCAATTGGGAAGAATTAAGACAGGTGTAGACACTATATTAAATATTCTTAATACTAAGAACATCTCTGTCAAACCTTCCCCAGAAGCTCCCTTATCCAAGGCTCTTGTTCAACCTGCTATTGAGGTTTCAGGTTTCAAGTTGTCTTATCAGAAAAAGAATGAGGAATTTCTTCAACTTCTTACTCAGAAAATTCAAGGACTTAAAATCCAAACTTTGTCTCATACTGAATCTGACACTGTTTCTGAAAATGAATTTGCTCCTCATATTGAGGATTTTCAAGCTGCTTTTTCAATCTCAAACATGCCTGATTTCAACAGAATTGTCTATGATAAAAATATCCACTCCAACACAACCCCTACTCCAAGTAGATATTACTATCCTAGACTAACCCTATCTTGTATGAAGAGGATTATTTTCATACTCAGAAATCTTTCCATGGAAACCATTTATGAATGGAACATCGATGGTAAATCTGATTATCAGATTTATGAGGTTGTACATCAAATGTTAATGTACAGTTAAGTCTGTAAACTTAGCCAGAACAATGATCCAACAATTGCCAAATTTATTGTTGTTGGTTTTACAGGCATCCTTAAAGGATGGTGGGATAATGTTCTCACTGACATTCAGAAGGCAGAGATATTTTCAGCTGTCAAAATTGTCAAGGATGAAAATACTCAGTAAGAAGGCCCAGCTGTTAATGCGGTTTACACTCTCATCACCACAATCATTCAACATTTCGTTGGCCCCAAAGGAGCTAACAGTGAAAGGAGTAGAGAGTTGTTACAGAATCTAAGATGTCCATCTTTAACTCATTTCCGGTGGTACAAAGATGTCTTCTTAGCCAAGGTTTTACAGCTTCGTGATGCAAATCATGAACATTGGAAAGCAAAATTCGTGGATGGTTTTCCTACCTTTTTTGCTGAAAGAATCAGAAAAAAGTTAAGGGATATGAATAATGGAATCTCTATCCCTTACAGAAACTATACCTATGGTGGATTAGTCAACATTGTAATCCAAGAAGGTTTAGTTCTCTGTAATGATCTGAAGTTACAGTCTCAATTAAACAACAGAGATTAACAGGGAAAAAGGAATGAGGTGAATTTTGTGATCAATTTGCTTATCAGACTCCTTTATCTTATCCTAAAGCTAGGAAAAGACATAAGGTTGACAAGCCTTATAAAAGGAAATATTCCCGAAGGAAATATCAACAGAAGGTTGATGATTCCTATCCAAAAGCAAAGGGTAAAGGAAAGCCCAAGACAGAGGCTGAGTGTTTCAAATGTGGACGGATAGGCCACTATGCCAATAAATGCATAACTAAGGAGAAACTTAACAGTCTTCCAATCAGTGAAGAGTTAAAACTCCAATTGAGCAAATTATTGCTTAATACTAGTTCTTCTAAAAATGGATCTTCTGATTCCGAGGACATACTTATGGAATTACAATCTTCCTCTTCATCTGAAGAAGAAAATAGTAATCCAAAATATTCTTGTCACCAGAAGAATGACTATTACAAGGCAATTATTGAAATGAATGGGCTCAGTTTAAATGTCTTAACTGCTCATCAACAATCCTTATTGGATCTTATAGATCAAGTACAAGATCCTAATGAAGATCTTATCCAGGATGAGGACCCCTCTGCCGAAGATTATTGGGATTCTTTAACCATCCACTTGAAAGAAAAGATGAAGGCTCCCAAACAGTAGAGATTCTCTCTTATCCTACCGATAGAAGATGACAAAGCACTTTCCCCAAAGTCTTTGTTTCTACAGTACTTTTCTTGTTAGAAGTTGATCATTACTATCCGACAAGAAGACAGGACATAATGGCGGGCCATCCGACTGCATTATTCCAGCACACGTCTTCCAGCCACTATGCGGACTTCAAATTTAATTTTCAAGTCCAATTTTATGTATAAATAGAGGGCAATGTTTCCCCTCAATGTAATCTTTCAGTTTTCTTTTCTCACTCATTTCTAATATTTCTCAGTGTACTTTATTTTGAAGTTCAATAAAGAAGAAAGTTTTCTGTAAGTGTTTCAAAGTTATTGTTATTACTGTTTATATTGTATTATTATATTGTTCTAATTAAAAAATTTAATTAAAGAAGAAAACACATTAATATATAATATCAAAAAAAATATTTATTAAGTATCTTGTTACCTAGTGGTATCTTTTGTACTTCCTAAACTAGATGTAAAGTGGGTGTGTGAGTGGTTTATGTGTGTTTCTTTGTCAATGAACAAAAGAAACTTTTTATTTAATTCAATAAAAGGTTCTAATTAGAAAAGAAAACTCATTTATATATAATATTAAAAAACTTATTTATTAAAAAAGCAAACACGTTAATGTATATAAACTAGGGGTCACAATTCGTGTTCGTGAGTAGTGTCATGTTGTGTCATACCCCTAATTTTAAAAGGACAGTTCTGGAATTTAATTATTGTATTTAATTACGTTTTTATTAAGTTAATTGTTTTAATTGTCTGTTTATTTGTTTTTATCTGTTTAATTGCTCATTTTATTGTATTAATTGTTTTATGTGTTTAGTTGTGAATTTGTTGGTTTAATTGTTTCATTGGATTTAATTAATTATTTGAATTTTGTGACTTGTTTAAGTATTGTAATTTATTTATTCTATTTAATTCTCTAATTGTTTATTGATTGGGTTTAATTATTTGATGAAATTTTTTTCTTTAAATAGAATTAATTATTAAATGATTTAATTAAGTAAATGAGTTTTTTACGTTAGTAGGATTAATTAGGGTTTTGGTTTTAGAAGTCACATATGTAGCCGACATAATTAAGCATTAATTAGGTTTCATATGGGCCGACTAAGGATTTAGTTTAGGGTTTAAATTAAACTAGGGTTTTGTGTAAACTTATAAACCTATAAATATATCTGTATAAGGCGGTCAAGGGTTTAGAACCCTAACCACGTTGTGGAGACAGAAGAAACAGAGAGGAGGAAAACCAAAGGGGCACCGGGAAAACTTAGAAGAAAGACGTTGAGATTTCTGAACCGAGTCTCACAGGCAAGTTTTATAACTAGCTCTACCTCTTTGACCTGTGTTCTTTGCATCCCTAACACAATCTCAGGATGAAATAAGGATTAAAACAAATCTGGTTCGCATTCTTGCATTGTTTAATAAACATATGTTTATGATCTGTTA